GAGACACCTTCCTTGCAGCTAAATGACCCGGCACAAGTACAGTGGTCTGCTAAATGTGCAGCTTTAATCTGGTGGCATTTTAGGCATACCAGATCTTGAAGATGGTATAGCCTCTCTCTCTGCCGCACAATTTGAATAAGAGCATTTTCCGTTGCTTCACGATCATAAGGTTGCCCACATTGGGGCACAGCACAACGCCACTCCTGATAAATCAAAGCTCTGTCTCGACACAGGTCAAGGTCTCTGCAGTCGTTGCAGTAACTGAAAGTAACAGATAATGGAAATAAGAAACCAACTAATATCCTGAAGATTCTATAGTAGACAACCAACTAGGAGTGGCAAACGGGCTGGTCGGGTCAGATATGGTTAGGGTCGAAAACGGGTAATGAAAAAACGGATAAATTATCCGACCCAACCCATATTTAATACGGGTAAAAAATGGGTTAACCGGCGAATAATATGGGTAACCATATTATCCATGAATTCTTGCATATGATCACTTTGGGAGAATTCTTAATCTCCCTAACCCGAGGAACCCCCAATTTGAGGCTTTACAAATGTAAAAGTTAGACCCATTGGTTATCCATTTTCTAAATGGCTAATATGGTTCTTATCCATATTTGACCCGTTTTTAAAAAGTTCATTATCCAACCCATTTTTTAGTCGATAATATGGGTGGTTAACTATTTTCTTTTAACCATTTTGCCACCCCTACAACCAACTAATATCCAGTAGACAAAGTTCCAGTAGTGGCGGATACTGCCATCCTTTCTCATTTCAGACAAAAGTAACACCTATTTACCCTACATTTACCTGCAAATGACATTTGGAAGGGTATACGACATAGAGAGACCGTGAAATTCTGCTTCTGGAGCGAATTCCCTAACACGAACAAGTTTTAATAGATTTCTCCTCATGATCTGCACAAAGGAAAGTAATGAGAACTTATCAACGGCATGCTGCAATGAAATGTTATTCTTGCTGAAGAATCATACTAGTGAATATCCAACTTATGTTTAGCGGTTTAGCCCCATAATTAACACACCATTACAATCTATTTTAGCGCTCCACATTTCAATGGATATCACTAAATAATCTAGCATGATATGATGCGCCAAAGTGATCATAGTTTTTCAAATCAGAATCTCTAAGTTCTAAGGAGCCAACAAAATAGCAGATCAAAACATTAGCAAAACACACTGGTTTATTGAGAAGGAAAGATGATGTATTCAGTGAAAGAGAAACTAGAAAAAAGCCATCAGACAGAAGTAGAGACAGCATGATGCAAGACAAAAATCATTTCTACTAGTTATAACATAAGTTGCGCTGACTCTTCGTTTTTGGTGCCGCACCCGTCTCGACACGGGAAGGGAGCGGGTGCAGGATACGTCCCGGATTCGGTCAACTACCTTCGGATACTTTGACCTGAGTCCATCGACAAATTTTGGGGGCAAATTGAGATTTTGATTTCTCAAAATTAAAAATAAAACAGATTTAATACATGGGAAATGGCATACCTTCAATATTGTAGTACTTTTGTATTATATCTGTTGCTTTGTGTTTTAGAAAAACCAAGAATTCAAAGGGTCGTGTTTTGAGTTAAGACTTCTGTAGACAGTAGTAGCGATATAGATGGAGAGTTGGTGGAAGGCCTTTAGTGGCTTTCTTTTTCTCTTTGTAGCTCTATTTTTTATAATTTTGAATATTTTAGCCGAATCCCCGCATCTGTATCCATACCTGGATCCGCAGCCCCAAATCTTAAAATTTAGCTTTTGCCGAATCCGACAGTCGGATCCGTGCCCGTATCGGATGCCCACACTCGAGTCCGAGCAACTTAAGTTATAACCAATGAAAGCAGAGGTAAATGAGAATAGGTCCTTCGCATTTTAAAAAAATTCATTTTGGGGGCAACAGAAGGGGGAAAAGGGACAAGAAGAAGGCACCAAGCACACAGACTAAAACATAGGAGCCTTGGAAGTTTTGTGTCGTTGCTAAAAGAGAATAACTCAACTAATTTTGGCAGGTTTGTCACGATATCAATGCATAGGTGCTTACAAGCCTAAATAACAAGCATTAAGAGCCAGAACACATTAATTAAAAGCCCAAGGAGGCTGGATAGACAAGAGACGGGTCAGTCTTTTTAGCAAATGATGCATAGGTATCACTAGTGCATATTTCTTTCATTAGAAAGAAAAGGAAAGCTTGAAAACATTTAATACCAGAACTTCATGCTGCACATTCTGGTCAAGGGCCAAAACTGCACAGACATGCTTAATGAACTCTAAAGCTGGATCCCCCTTCTGGACATGGCTATAAGATTGTGAGTTTGCATCTGATGTCTCCTGAGTCTTCTGGGAGTTGTTCATCACTTTCATTTGTAAATTAGGGTCACAAACAATTTTCAGAAGTTTGTCAGTGAAGTAAGTTCGGATCTGCAGGCAGAATTTTCTGAAGTTTAGTTCTCATGCTTTAAAGAACCAAGCACAAAATCGAAATTATAAAGGATGCCTACAAATGAGTCATAGCAGATACCTTCTTCTTTAGATCTTCCGCCATTTGCAAATCAAATGTTTCAGCAAGTGCAGCAGTGATTGATGGTGTACATAAATCACCATTGCTACTAGATGCTCGATGTGTAGCTTGTTCTTGTGCGAATTTCCATGGAATATACATAAATTCCGAAACAATCAAAATGAAGTGATCCTGCATGAAAGTCCAGCAGAGATTCATAAGGCAGAACACCTTATCAAGGACACCCGAGGATCAACTGTATATTGTGGCACTAAGGTGCATCCAAGTTAATTGACAGTTTTAACAATGGTAGGCCCACTTGTACCTTGTTGCAGCTTCATGTAACGAAAGCAAAATTCCAGTATAATTACTAGCTGCGGGAAATACCTGAGTTGCCTTAGGTAAATTTTCTGCAATGTTCCAGCTTGACACAATGTCGACTTGTGATTCACCGCACACGCTTTCTTCACCTGGTTCTGAATTAACTTCTAAAGGCCCATCACTAAGTCTAGCTTGTATTCCCCCATAATTGTACTATCATAAAAGGGAAATGGTAAGACATAGAAATTAAACAAATGAGCAAAGAAAGAAAATATCTGTTGTCAGAACCATTAAATGAGCATGAGCTTTCAACCTCTTTACCCAGAATAATAAATACTCCATGAGGCGAGCAACCCAACTCTTTCCAATCCTAATTACACGTGGGCAGTCATATATAACATTCATTTGGGTTGGAAAAAAAATACCAAGTCATTTCCCATCATAAAGAAGCCTGGCTAGGGCATTAATAGTTAGCATAAAACTACTGTCAAGAGATTTCTAGGCATCAAATTCATCACCATAAACTCAAAAACAGGGATTCAGGGAAATTCTTGATCTGAAGGGAAATTTGACAACCATTAAGTTACAGCAAGAGATTCAGAACATGAGCAGTTCTAATAGTAATCCAAAATTTGTAAAGCATGTATCAGCATTGACTTATACATATCAAAAGGATATTATTGTGATTTCATATGCATAAATCTGTTCCTTGGAGAAATGAAGGAAAAGATAACAGAGCCAAAATATTAATAACAAGAAAAAGAAAAGTAAACTACAATAGCTAACCTGATCCATGAAAAGCAATGAGTGCCAAAACTGCAAGGGCTCAAGTTCAATCCACTCAAACAATTCTCTGCAGATACACAAGAATAAGGGGAGAAAGCCAAAAGTAACTAAATGTGTTGGAGGAAAAATCTTCAGATTCAAGAGATAGACTGACCTATTTTGTACTGTTTTAATAACACTATCACAGTAGGCTTTGGCTGCAGATACATCTGACTTTCCAGTGTCAATTATAATTTTTGAGAAGCTGGCAAACACAATAGCAGCACCCAATTTTCGGAGTTCAGCCACAAGCAATGCAAACATCTTTTGCATAACCTGCCAATTATGAACATATTAAAGCATCAGTTTTGATGAGTGCAAAGAAATGGAGAAACTATATGTGAATGAATTAGCATGCAGGAACACATTCTAGGGAAATAGATCTCATGAGTGTCTTATGTTTTCGATAAAGGCATTTGTTTAGGAGTTGGAGAAAAGATTGTCCCAGTACTAGTAACAAGAAGGAATGTCATGCATCTTGACTTCCAGAAGTTTGTTAATTACAAAAATTACCTTGTGAAGCATACTGTGGAGAGCTGGGTCATGCAGTCTAGACCGGGGGCTGTAATAGTTAGAGAACAGATGTAGCATTAGCAATCAAATACGACTGAAAACAGAGGTGAAAGAAGCAAGGCTGTTACAACCTGCAGAGCCATCGATACAAATGTTGCAGCATTGCATCAGCAAATATGTTTCCTGATGTTACTGCATCCGTAAGGCACCTCTGGATCAACTGTTTGAGTACACGAAATGCAGGTGCACAGGAGGTCGTTGCGTCAAAGCAGTAATTATCATTAGTAAAATTCGTGGTAGAGTTCAAGTCCTGGTCCAATCCAAACAAAGTGCCTCCTTCCATTTCGTTTACTTGGTTGCTTTTCAGAAGAGCATCAACGGCCAGATGATGAATCTGAAGACAATAGCAGACATAAGAAGAATTTTCTAAAAGTCGTAATAGGATTACCTTTGTGTATTGGTTATTTTTGCCAAGACATATAATGGAAAGAAGTAACTGGATGAAAACTGGTGGAAATGTAGACCTTCAGCTCAACAGTAACTTTTCTATATGCACCCGGGTAAGTAAGAACCGGTTGATTGACCTGCTTTCAGAAAGCACAAGATAGCTTAAAATGTGCTCAAGGAAAATGGCAGAACGCTAGAAATTCTCTTCTATAACCAGTGAGAAAAATAAACAAAGCAGATATTATCATGAAATAAGTTGATATGTAAAGCTGACCTCATCCATAAAAGATGATACTTCATCATTTACGCCTCCCAAGTCAGGGATGCCATTATCAGATATCCACAAGACCTGTGAGAATCAACAAAATTTATATAATCCTGTAAAGGATATCTAGAAAAGATATTTATGATGCATATAGAAAACTTAAAGTTGCTGAGAGTTTCAATCAAAATTCATGCTAGCAAAAGTACAAGATGAGAGAAACATAGGCAACTGAAATTAAAAAAACTAGTAATGAAGGTGGATATCTTAGCACTATATATAATCAGAAAGATTAAACTCGTCATCAAGTAAAGAAATAGCATGCAATATAAATGAGACAACCTGTTGCTGATCACGCAGTGCTCTAGAAAAGAAGATATCTGCTGTATGCATGAGCCAATCAACATCAAAATTCCCTATGGGAACCTGCAGAATGAGGCAATTGGAAACGTTAACGTTCAGAACTTTTTTGATTAGGCTATACTGGCAAGGAGACAGTAAGAAAGAAATTACATGGGCATATCTTGAGAGAGTGATCCTTTCATTTAACCACTGGGAGGATGTAACACATCGCTGCATTCCAATCTTTGCTGCAACATTTTGCCAGCCTAGTGCCTGAAAAGGAGAATTTTTCATTGTTTCATTGAATATAGTTAAGAAAAACAAAGCACTTTCTCCTTCTTAATCAGGCACTATCAGCAGTAGTTGAACCTGATATTGGCTATCCCGCGCATTACAAGGGATACTGATGCAAGGAAAATCATCCAAAGCTCGTATACCAGACTTCAGCGAATGGGCATTCGGGCACTCAATCATGGCAACTGCAGGCCCATGATGCCTGTATGTCAACCAATTCAATTAACATGAGAAGCTTACAAAATGGTATGAAACTAAATATAAACAAAATGCTCTAGAAAAGCTGAACTGAAGATTTGAGTTCAATACTTTTAAGCTAAGTTGCTAGGACAGGGGTGTGGGTGTCCTACACGGGTGCGGATCTAGAGGTCGGATCCTTCGAGATATAAATTATAAGATTCGGGGATACGGATCCTAGTATGGATACGGGTGCGGGGATCTGGCTAAAAATAATTCCAAAAAATAAAAATATCTCTAAATTATGAGAAATTTTATGGAATACGAATGTATAACTTGTAAAGTGTGGATTTTTTTTATTCTCAAGTTGGAGATAAGTAAAGGATTGATTTCCTAAACAAGATATGCTATTTTCTTCAAATTTACCCTAGTTTTGGTTCTTATTTCGGGAATCAAATTGTATCTCATCCCGAATTTTTTTGTCGTCGTGGGTCAAAGTACCCAAATTGTTTGACCAGATCTGCTACGGATCCCATACCCACACCCACACTTTTAAGATAGGAAAACACAAAGAGAAACACAAACTTCTATAATTCCAAAAATATGTCATTAGTCTTGAGATGCCATCAACATCCAAAGAAGTACACCCTCCCTCCCTCCCTCCCC